GGACACGAGGTCAGAGTCCGAGTCCGGGTCCGGGTTTTATGCAGGTTTTCCGGTTCTGGGTCCGGGCCCGGGTTTTATTCACACCCCGTAGCTAGCGCTGGGCGGGAGGGCTCAAGGGGCCAGGGGGCAGTTCCCCCAGAAAAATTTGACACAATACATGGTCAATGGATGTCACATTCTCAGAACATACCATGCATGCACTGGGTTTTGCACCCCTTCCCCAGGCAAACGGGGCAAACGGTTAGCTACGGTCCTGTATAGTCACAATCGTGTAATATCTTTATAGAAATAATAATAGATTAGAGGATGTGTAAATCATGCAAAGCCTGACTTTGTTCATAATTTCTAGATGTTATTTATTGCCCTGCAGATTTGTCGCTGCGGTGCTGTGATGCAGCAATTCAACAATGGCTACCGAAGATAAAAGATACAAAAAAGTAAAGTTGAAGCCCCTGCCAGTAACTTTCTCAACAGCGGGAACAAGAACTTCCAAGATGAGCAAGAAAAAGAACTTATTAACTGACCATCTAGAAAAAGTCAATACATGTGATGCCAATGAGCATGTAGGAATAAATAACAATATAATTAAGGTAAGAAAAAGAAAGGTTATTCTCTGTATAATGTGATGATAATGATGTGTTCTTTATAAGCCAATTCAGCATTTCAGAGCAATATAAGAATCTCAGACATATATGGCTTTTAAGTGAATACTGAATATACCATAGTCATAGTCATATATATATATATCCCTGTAACACCTCTATACCTGTAATACATGTGGTACAGTGGTATATATACAGTGGTATAGTGGTACGTGTAATACCTGTGGTACACTGTGGTATATCTACATACTTTTTGTACATTTACACCAGTAATACATACTGAGTGGTTCACCTGTCAAAAGAAAATAAAGCAGAAAGTAAATAATCTTTCAATATTCATAGACATGATTTTGGAAATCTGTTGAGTTTAATCATTTTCACCAATTACCAATACAGTTTGAGGTCATCTTTCAGGAACAGGCTGCTAGACCGTCTTCACTGTCCTTTGGATACAATGACATCGGTGCAGCACATTGTGACGAATCGCTGGAAATCGAAGACCATGGGCTAAATCTCAAGGAATCGTTAGAGAGGAGTGCAGGAGAATTGAAGCAAAGGAAATTGCTTATTCGTCAAGAAGTGATTGCAAGTTCATCTATTTCTGACACGTATTTTCGACATCACATAGCACTGCACTCTTTAGTTTGTTGGAGTTATGCCTCGTAAGGATATCACTGCTGACACGCTGAGGAATGAGATGGTAGTTCAAAAAAGGTGGGCAAATAGGTGAACATTTTTTATTTCCATATGTTTGATTATCTGTAATACATAATTTCACACAGAATGTGTAAGAGCGCACTTTTTAAACACGTGCACATCGCACGTGCACAATCGTGCATGAAGTTACACACACTCACTGGCACAAATCTCTACATGTTGTTGCTTGTGGCAATGATGCAATCTTATATTGTTGTAATATTGCAATTTGTATTAAAACAGTGCTAACTTGTATACTTTAGGTAGTGTCCATGAGTACCGGTACCTCATCATCATCTTTGAAAGCTTCTAAGGATCTGTCCGCGACTCCTACTAACCAAGATCATGAAATCCTGTCAAAGACAGAGCTACCACGAACAGTTTCAAAGGAGGAAGAAGATGTGATAAAAAGCTCACCGGACATTTCTGCTGTAGACATCGCAAGTCCAGACGTACGTAAAACATTTGGTTCACTAATTCAGAAATATTTTAGCAGGTATCCTATATTATATTCACAAAATAAAAGCGAGAACTTTGTTGTGTGTAGCATGTTATAATTAGGCATCGATGAAAACCTTTATATAATAAATGTCTATTTACAATAGCAAATGGATATGTGGTTTTTTATGTTTAGACATTGATGAAGAGCTCATCTCCTTTAACTACGAAGTCGGCGGAGAATCTAGACTTGCTCCCTGACGACGGTAAAAAAGTAAAATCGTTACCGATGACCCTTCATTACCTGACGGAGCATGTGGTTGAGGGACCTCTGCAGCCAAGGAGCAGACAGTACCTCATTACGGCCAAAGAACTTGTAAGTGCATAGCATACAGACACGTCTACTTCCCCTGTGAAAATTATTATGTTATGAATTGTGATCTTGCTTGGCCTATGTGGAAAGATGAAAAAGAACCGTGTT